CTTTTTAAGTGGTACTGTGTTAAGTGGGACTATTGGATTCTGATGAGTAAGCCTTCAAGTGCCACTCCTGAGTCATTGTTTCATAGGCAGGGCTGCCTTGCAGGCTGTTCTAACTTGTACTGCGGTGGGCACCAGGCGTATTTTGAATTTAGCAAAGAGTCTGAATACTATGCTATCTTGAGGACTAAATTTCTCAGAAAATTTGTTTTCTTTTTGTTAAAGGGTAATGTAAGTGTCTTTGATAAGAGCCTTGAGCATACTGTATGATAGCCATGGAGCCCAGTGCAGTGCTATGCTCTGCTGTTCTCAGCTACTTGGAAGCTGAGAAGATAGCTTAAGCTCAAGAATTCAAGGCTTGTGAGTTCTCCTCTGAGACCCATGGCTGTGCTTACCCTGGGCAGTTGGTTAGGTTTCCAGGAGGTGTGGTTACCTCTTGTTGATCATATCTTAATTCCAATTAGAGTTGTTGGTTGATGTCAAGTATTGTACTATTACACACAACCTTAGGGTTATCGTGCCATGCTGGTCTTTGTTTCAGCTTATGGGTGTTTCAACTTTTGTGAAGCCTTCTGGTACCAAACTACATTATACACATTTGTCCTTATACCCACAGGAAAGTGTAATCCTTATCCCACATCAAGAAAACTTCTCTTTGCAACAGATGGAGACCAATCACAATTGATCAGAATGAAAAATTATGGAGCATAGTCCCAAAGAATGTATCTATAACACACAGTATCTATTCCTTAGGCTTGGGGGTTATTTCAGAAGAGGAATAGAGAGATTGTAAAAGGCAGAGAAGCAGAAAGTTTGCTGTGTGATTCTGGTTCCTAGAAATGTCAGAAGCTCCACCCATAAAATCTCACCAACATGACTGACTGAACATGAACTAAACATGCCCAAGTGGAGGGGCAAAAACCCATGAAGCCTCAACCTTACACAAAGAGTCATAGGCAACTAACAAGTGCTGAGGTGGGGCAGATAACTCATTGGTTATCCAATACCAAATGATCAGCCATGAAAACATATATACAAGTAGCATTATATAGACTGATCTGATTTTGTTTAGAAAAATACAAATGTGTGTGTTTAATATATATGTACACATGTAACAACAATTAATAAAAATAGACCACAAATGTGAAAGAAACCAAGGAAGCATGTGGGAGGGTTTGGAGGAAGGAAAGGAGGGAAAATGATGTAACCATATTACAATCTCTAAAAAATAAAAAAAAAAATTAAAAAAGAAAGTGCCATGAGTTATGTACGCTATTCACACAATAAACTTAGATTTGTTGGAGTAAAACAAAAACAAAGAGGACCGTGTGTGTTTAAATAAATGTGTTTGTAAGTAACTTCAATGGCACCTAACTTTTTTAACAGTGTGGTTCTGCTGTCTTGTTTTCAATACTGGGCTTCTCTGTTTAGTGCTGGCTGTTCTGGGATTCATTTTATAGACCAGGCTAGCCTTGAACTCACAAAAATATGCCTGCCTCTGTCTTCTAAGTGCTAGGATTAAAGAGGTGTGCCATCATTGTCCAACCCTATTTTTTTTTTTTTTTGATAGTCTGCCAGTCAATAGATTCTTTAGTAGAGATTTTGTTAATTCACCAATTTTGTGCCAGTCTGTGTAGTTTTCCTACAGAACCACCAGGATATGTCATAATGAATGGAGGTTTTGCTACCGTTTGCTTTAATTACCTCAGTCATAGTTCACCAGGGATCTGGAAATTGATCACTTTTTATGAGGTCAAGTTTTGTAGGATTGTTTTTTTCCTGGAATTTCAGGTTTATTGCTCTCAGTTCAGGAGAGTGAAGCATCAGTTTCTTAGCATGAATACTCATATGGGATGATGAGCAAATATACCACATGTTAGAATTCATGGACACTTTAGGAAAGGAATTTTGTGATACAAGCCAAAAGTTTTAAAAGTAGTTACAACCTTTAGTTCAGTAACAACTGATGCATAATAAATTTGTGATATTTAACATATATAGTTAGATGAGCCTAGGCATATGTATGTACAAGTAAAATACCATTACAACTTCCCCCTTTTCCACTTTTGATCTTTTGTAATCTCTTCTCTCCATTTTCCTATGCTCTTGCTTATCCTAGGGAACATGTGCTGGTGAGCTTTCACATTGATTTCTAGAATTTTGAATAAATCAAACTGTACCATATATATCATTCCTGTTGCCTTCTTTCTTTCCCACATAATAATTATTTTTAGGACCATTGTGCCACAGAATGCACATTCAGATCCTTTTATCTGTGATTTGAGATACAAATTAAAGTTAATGTTTTGCATACAAATGCCCAATTGTTCTGGCAAAGATGCTGGGAGAGCAGCCCTTTTCAGCTGAGATATCTCAGCATGTTTGTCAAGCTCTGCCTGTACCTTTATGTGCAGGTATGTTTCTAAACTGTTCTGTCCCGTTGGCTTTTCCCTCTCTACACCAGTATTACCATTTTTACTGCCACGACTTTGCAATGATTCCTGGAACAAGGTATTTTTCCCCCCTGCAACTTTATCCTTTTCTAATGATATCTTGGGCGCTAATAAAGTTTTTCCTCTGCACGTTCAGATGAACTTAAGAAATGATCTGACAGTTTCTGTGAAAAAAAATCTGCTGGATTTTTTATCATGAAGACTAATTTACAGACTAATTTACACAGACTTACTGTCTTAACTGTTTTCTTATTCATGGGTGCAGTGTCATTAGTTTATATTAGCAAAGCTTTGTTAGTTTTCAATTTTTCATACATTTCATTATGAATAGTACAAATGTGATTAGAATGCTACCATGAATCCAAGAATAGGTTAACTTAACGGCCATTAACTTAACGGCTGTTTGACTTTATTTTTTAACACATAGAAAGGCAATAATTTTGAATATTCATCTTATATTTCTCAAACTTTCAAAAAGCCACTTCTTAGATTTAGGACATTTTATTTCCAAAAATGTTTTACATATGCATATTCGTGTGTGTGTGTGTGTGTGTGTGTGTGTGTGTGTGTGTGTGAATTTGATGGCATCCATCCCGATCTGAGTGGCTTCAGAATGATTTTTCTTGCCTGGTTATATTGGCCATCATTTCCACTAGAAGTGAACCTAAGAGCCAAGAAGAGGCTTCCTTCTTTTGTTCTGTTCCTGATCTTAGGGAGAGAGAAAGCTTTTATTCATTCAGCGTTAGCCTTGCTGTTTTCTGCAGGTCAAGTGTCTGTTGGCTGAGTTGAAAGTCATAAATAGAACTGTATCTTCCATGCCTTGTGTGTTCATCTGCATCACTACAGTTCTTCTTTCAGATTGCCTGAATTTTATTTTAATACCTAAATCTAGTTTCATTTTCTTGAATGGAAATGATTGTTAGGCAGTATTAGGATCTAATAGAAAGAGAAAAAAAATTACTGAATTTTAGTAGCTACTTCAGATGTAGAGGCTTTGTGCAGGCACCTTATGAGGCATACTCAACAAGAGAGGAAAACACAAAGATGCTTTTTTCCAATCTAAACGTCTTTCTTCATGTAACAGGTTCTTCCAATGAAAAGATAAGGGGACTTCCTATTATAATTAAAACTACTGTTTCTCAGGTAGCATTAAAAACCCATCTTTCATGTGTTGGTTACTAGTTCCACAGCTCAGAATCACCAGACCTTAGGCAGATTTGAAAACGTTTGTTCATCACAAATGCTAGAGGGCTCAGGTAGTTCTAGGCATTGATTGGGGGTGCCCATCACCCTGACAGTTTAAGATTCACTACAAAAGAATAAGAATATTTGGATTGGGATCATCACATGTTTTTAAGTTCCCAAGGTAATTCCAGTGCTTAGGCAGGTAGTATGTCTCCCTGTGAGGACATCTGTATGGTAGGAGGTGATAGTAGTGGAGGTGAAGGTTTGGAGTGGGCAGGTGGGGGGTCATAATGGATTGTATGACCTGGAAGTATCATGGAATAATCAAAATATCATGATGATTTGCCATTTGGGGGGTCTAGAGTATGCACACGTGTTAAAGCAGTTGGGTGTCTTTGTGACTACTTGGCCGAGTCTTCCTTTTGTTCACTGCACTCATGAATTTTCTGCTTCTGATGCTCCTTTGGTTTACAAGCAGTGTGATATCCTCTTAACAGTTAGACCCTTTAAACAGCATCAAGATCGATCTTCATGGCCCTCTTCAGTGTTTCACAAGAGAAATGTGAGGTAGCTTTTGAGAGAGCTTTAACACAATAACTACCCATAAAAATTTCCAGAGAAGAGATTCAGTGACCTTGACAGCAAGCGTTTCAAGCATACTCCCTTGAGTATGGGCGCGTGCACATGTAAATAAATAGAAAGTACGTGAGTGAAGCGCTTGACGAGGAACCGATTCTCCTGTTGATTCAGTCTCTGTAAGCCTTCTCGGGAGCTATTTAGAATAATCTTCCTAGGAGCAGTGGCCACCATTTTCCAAGCTGTGTTGTGCCTCTTTGTCACCTTTGTCACAGTGGTCTCTTGACTTCATCTAGAAAAGGGAAAGACGAGAGAGAAGTAAAACGTTTTACAAAACAAACAAAAAACCCACTACCGATCTTTCAACTTACTTAGTAGAAACAAGGAACTTGAGAAAGAACTTCAAATCTTGTTTAAATTAGGACAGTGAAAGGACATTATTTTATAATCCACGCCTTGAGGAACTAACTGATGGGGGTAGGCCATGGGGGTGAGAGCTTTCTTTTTCCACAATGGCCCTTTCAGCCCTATCAGGACAGTTTCTAATCTCTCCCATAGGCCACCTCCCAGAAAGTCCCCAGGCCCTCCCCTGGCCTTCTTCCTTGTCTAGCCAACAGGGTGGGCGGGGTGGCCTCTCTGGCCTGCCCCTCTTGGGCTCAGGAGACTGGCAGAGCTCGGGACAACTGCCCTAGTCCTGTTCTCTGAGGATCACTGGCTGGTTGCCTGGTCAGGTTCAGGAGCTCCTGGACGAGGCGGTTTCCTGCTCTGGGCCAGGAAAGTAAACTGCTCTGGGCCAGGAAAGTAAACTCGGTGTGCGGAGCTGGACAGAGGGACCTAGGCGGGTTCTCAGCCTGCAGCCCCACGGATAGCTCCAGACAGCGCCCTTGCTACTCCTCAGAGGCGCTTTCTCAGAATGGAGCAATTTCCTTTAGGCCGTAGAGACCGCAATAGCGGCTGCCGACCTCACTTGGCCCCGGGGCTGCGGGCCGCTCCTTCCTCATCGCCTGCGCGGCCAGTGCCGTCGGGGATCCCGGTGTCCGCGGCTTTTCTGCGGCCACCCGGCTTATTCCTGAGATCGGCGGCCAGCGCCGGTCGCGGAGGATGCGCTCCCGGCCCGGGTTTGGATAGAGCGCTGGGGGCGGTGGGCTGCGGCTACCCGCGGACCCCCAAATGTGCCCGATGTCGCAACCACGGCGTGGTGTCTGCGCTTAAAGGCCACAAGCGCTTCTGCCGCTGGCGGGACTGCGCCTGTGCCAAGTGCACTTTGATCGCAGAGCGCCAGCGCGTCATGGCCGCGCAGGTGGCGCTGCGCAGGCAGCAGGCGCAGGAGGAGAGCGAGGGCGGCGGACTGCACCGGCTCCTGTACCCCGGGCCATCGGGGTCCGGGGCTCCGGCGTCAGGGGAGAGCGGCAGGAACGAAAGTCCCCAGACAGTGCGCAGGTCTGAGGCTATAGCTGTGCTGGGAGCCGGTGCTTCAAGGCACTCTAGGAGCCAGGCGGTCCCAGCTTTCAAGGTTTTCCAGCAAGATTATGCAGAGGGAAAGCAGGGTGAGTTCTGTTTGGTTTGATTTTCGTGCAAGAAAATGATTGTTCTGGAAGGGAGCAAGGGCTCCCTAAAGGTGGGCAGAAAGTTGTTTGAAAGAAGCGATGAAGTTCTGGGATGGGGATCTGCAACGTGGAGTGCTCGGAGGGGTAAAGGTACTAAGTTTTCAGAAACAGAAAAGCTCCTTGTCTCCCCTTGATAGAGAAAGATAATGAAAGTGACATGTGAATGATCACATCCGCAGGCTCACCCTGGGAATGGATTTAGACGAAGTCTTTGACTTTGTGTGGGCAGAACTTAAGCTGGTGTTGACAGAAAAAAACTTTAGTGAGTGTGATTGCACTCTTTCAAGTTGTAAAAACCACCGTGAGTCTTCTGATCTTGCACAGGAAACCCATTGACTGTGGTTATTGTGAAGTTCTTTGCTTTGGGGACAAAGTTTTCTAGTCAGCTAGAAACTGAAATTACTGATCTGATTCTCCCCGTCCCCTCGTCCCCTCCCCTATCCTTTTTATTTTTATTTTATTTTATTATTTAAGCACAGTTCCCAAAGGGGTGGAAAGCTTTAGGGACTGGAGTTTAGCTTCCATTGGAAATAAGTTTAAGCCTGCCAGTTTACAGCCGGATAGATCTCATCAGAGTAATTGTAGTATTGCCTTGTAGTTTCTGGCAACAAAGTTATGGTCAGTATCTCCTAAGTGCCCTGAATTAGTTTTTCCTGCAATGTTAATGTCATTGTGTTTCTGTGATTTTTCACAACCTTCTACAGGGCCGATTAGCCTGGAACATTTCATTTCAATCATTTTGATAAAAGTCCCAAACAGGTTGTATTACAAGAAGTTATTTGATAACCGGGTGGTAAGTTATTAATTAGAAAGTTTCCTTAGTTGTGAAAATTGCAGTTCTTAGCAAATCAGGGTGTAATTTTGAAAGAAGACCATCTATGAATAGAAACTTTGCGTTCACTCATGTCTGCTTTTGATACATGCTCTGGTTTACTTCAGTAGACCAACAGATTTTAACAGAACCCTAACTAAAGAGAAGCAAATGCCAAAGTTCTTTTAGCTAGGCTGGTATTGAGATTTGGTTAGTGGTATGGATTTTTGCAAATCTTTGGGTACCAAAGGGTCATTTAACAGGCCTGATGGTTTTATTAGATTATTCTGCCACAAGTCACTCACCTATAAAAAGTAAATTTGTACTTCAAAGGCTTCTTCACTGGTTTTCTAAATTGACTACCTCCTCTTACACAAGATGCATAACCTATAGTAATATATTGCATTGAATATATTTTTGATCTCATTGTCTAAACAAAGACCTACAGTGATACAGGGATTTCCTTATGTAAGAATCTTGCATTCAAAAGAAGGAAGGTCATCTGCATCTAAAACTACAACAATGAATAAAATATCTTTAGAGGTTGAGAGACTAGAGATGAAAGGAATTTTTATGCCAAGTATTTAAAAGAACTTCATGTCCAAATATTGACATGCAATCAGTACCCCCTCCCTCCCATGTTTGTTTTGAGACAGGGTTTCCTATTTATATCCCAGGATGATCTGTAACTATGTAGCCCAGGCTGGGCATCTTTTTGCCTCAGCCTCCTGAGTACTGGGATCACAGGTGTGAGCCCTCACCCATAGCTTGCAGCCAGTATTACTTTATATGTATTTGTCCCCTGGAGTCCAACATAAAAGTAATAAATTATAGCAGAGATGTAATTTTGATACTTCATGTGTTTCAGAAGCAATACATAGTGCAATGAATCACATTTATAAGCAAGTGAAACAAAAGGACAATGAAAATTTATTTCCATGAGGCCAATGTCATTTGACAAGTTTTTGTATTATTTCAAGTTGAAAATATCAGCGTTCAATCTTACAAAGGTCACAACTTTTCTTTCATGGAGTATTGACAGTGTTTTGAGCCTTATAGTGCTGAATTGTACACTATTTACATTTTAAGTAGACCATAGACTTCTTTGGATGGTGTTTAGGACTATGTCTTCAAGATGCAGGGAAACCCCAAAGAATACTGTACATTGTTTACCATTTCTTTATTATGTTACCATTAAAAATGTGGTAGAGACAGAGAGTTTGGGAGAAGTACTGCTGAAAGTCTTGGACAGTTTTACCTTTTCAGAGATAAAGTAAATGACAAGAGGAGATGAAAAGGCAGATAGCACTCTGTGTGTGTGTGTGTGTGTGTGTGTGTGTGTGTGTATACATTGTTACTAGTTTCTTGATGCTAGCTTGTCAGTATAGAATTGAAATATCTTGTTTAATTCTTATGCTCAATATGTTGAGATGAAATCAGAGTTTTTAATAAAATGTTTTCTTTTTTAAAAGAAAAATTCTCTTAATATTGAAATGGGGGCTGTAATAGGTAATAAAGTCTTAATATATTGTGTCTACAGTGTCAGTGCAGCTTGCAGCCATAAAGATTGTTCAGCATTCTCTCTGGTGCAGCAAGAACATATTAGTTCTGAAGCACCTTTAAAATGTGACTCTCATGAAGCCGTTTTTGGGTGAATCAACACACACACACACACACACACACTGAATTATTTCATCCATCATTGTCCTTGAATGGGCATTACTGTGTTGTGGCAAATTTTTCATATGACTGATTATCTTCTGTTTTCTTTTCTGTAGAACCAGAAGAGAATAACTGTGAATCATGCCAAAGTAGACATGAAGAACTAGTCTCCAATACCCACCACCGTTCGATGGGATCATCTCCTAAGTGTAATGGTACCGTGCAGAAACGGGGCTTCATGTCATCTATTTCAGAACACTCAGACAAACCAAACATAATCCTGTCTCCTTGCCCCACAGAGCAGTCAGGAGGAGAAGATAGTCCCAGGTCCTTCTCTTCCTCTGATCTGGAATCGGGGAATGAGAGCGAGTGGGTCAGAGACTACATTGCTACCAGAGCCAGCCTTTCCACAGTGACCTCAAGACCTCGAGACCCTCTTGGAATTCTTACCAGGATTTTCCCAGGTTACAGGCGTAGTCGCCTAGAAGGCATTCTACAGTTCTGTAAGGGAGATGTCGTCCAAGCTATTGAACAGATCTTAAATGGGAAAGAACATAAGCCAGAGTGCAGAGACCCAGCACATGCAGACTTGGAAAATGCAGCCTTTCAGAGAGCTTCAGATTTTACTCTTGCTGGCATTGGCTTTGGAACTCTGGGTAATAAATCAGTTCTCTCTCCTCTTGAAGCCACGTCTGCTGCTTATGGAGGAGATTCAAATCTCTACAGTTTCAATCCTAGGCTAGCTTTCAGCCCACTGCGCCTGGCATATTCTTCTCCAGGAAGAGCGCTGTCTGGCTTTGTGTCGCCTTACCTAACGCCTGGGCTGGTTCCAGCATTGCCTTTTCGGCCAGCATTGGGTTATGCCTTTCCAGGGGTAATTAGGGAGCCGTCCCAACTTCCCAGCAAGCACTTAGTATCTGGTGGTAGACTGTATTTCAGGCCCAATCAGGAACATCTGTAACACAACAACTCTACCACTCTGTGGTGTTTCAGGAACCACCACCACCACCACCACCACACACACACACACACACCTACTTATTGATGTTCTTCATTGAGTATATAAGTGGCTTACCAGCCTTAAACGCTATTTTTAAGCAATGTATAGCCTTTAAACTTGACTTTGTCTTTCCTTTTTCTTTTTTAAAAGCATTTATTAAATCTAAGAAACATTTGAACATTATATGTGCCTTGAAAATTATTACAGGAAATAATTTTATTTTAAACTAATGAATTTTCTCCATAAATTATCATCTCTATTGCAATGACATACCTGCTTTTATTTTATTGCCGAGTTGGGCTTATAGTTGTAAACATTTGTAAAAATGCAATTCATATGGTAGAAAATGAACCAAGGGGGGATTAAAAACTGAGTTTAATTCTATGTGGTTATTATTCTATAACAACTCCCGGCCCTTCTCAGTGTTCCCCACCCACTCGCACCACCACAGGTGACCAGAGTTATTTCAAGTATTTAAAACTATTTTATTTGCATCTAAATGTTCAGTAGTAAGTAATTACAATAAAATTGAATATATTATTTTTGGAATGTCTGCCTTTTTACTCTTTAGCTACTATTTGTAAAAAGTGAAATGTTTATGAACAATTCTCTTTAAAGTTAACATTGTAATTACACCAAGTACTAGTGGGTCATAAGAAACAAGGCTCTGCCCTCTTCTGGCTGCTATCACAAACTGCAACTCAGTTCTGAAGAAACTGTTTTTCTGTTACTGGCTAACAAGTTGATGAAATAACTTTTTTGGATCACGCTGCATTCAGTTTTCATGTGAAATAGATTTATATTGAAGGTGATTTTAATTTTTGAGTATCTTATATTTGTATCTGCAGAAAACAGTCCTTTTTATTTGTCTGATATAATATGTTGCACATTTTCAAAGGTAAACATAATTTTATTAAGAAATCTAAAATACCTTCTCAGACAAATATCTAATGACTTTGTATAACGTATATTCAGTGCATTGAGGTGGGACAAAATTTCCAAAGGGCAGTAACTGCCTTTAAATTTCAGAGCTGTTGTGGAGTCTTTAGACACACATTTTGTTCTCCACCTGGAGAATTTGAAAGCCATCCATCAAGCTGTTATTTCAGCCACTGGGAAGCCCCAGAAAAAAAAACTGCCCAAAAAACAGCTGTACAAAGTTTTTCTTGTATGCTATCCTTTTTAAAAGGCCAATAGCTCTATCGTTATTGTGAGGAATAGTGAAAACCCAGATGTGGTAGGAATTAGAGATATCTTTATCTAAGGATCAAGAATCACCAGAAATTTCTGTACTTATATTTATGTTTGGGTGTATTTCCCATGAAGCTGATGAGTTTTCACAGTGTATTTTACATACAGATATCATAATACACTACTGGAGAATATCTGGTGATGATTTAGAATTCAAATTTGTTTAATGTTATGCATTAATTTTAGTGGTATAGGGTATGAGCAAAAGTCCTGTAAAATTTAGAGAGATGTAATACTCAACTTTTTAAAATACAAAACAAAAGTCAAGAAACCTTTCAGACTCAGCCTAAATCACTACAGTGTTTGGCAACTAATTGCTATGCAGTCAACACACAGTGAAATAAGAATAATTTTGTATAGGGATCTTTTAATCAAAGAATTCTACAGAGTGGCCTATTGACACACAGTTTTGAATAGAGTTCTATGAGGTTCTCTGTCTCCTACATATTACTCTGATCAGGATTCTTGGTGATCCTTGAGTTGTTTGTATTGCATGAATCTATTGCATTCTACTTTTGAGATACACTAGATCCTATAGAGGGTGCCAAGTGCAGAGTATGATGTTGTAAAGAGAGTTACAGTAAACGATAGAGAGCTGGACTGAAAGTACAGTAACTCTAGTGTTGCTGGATTCTTCTTAAGGTTACCATAATAATGTGGGCACACTGATTTAAGAATACAAATATGAAGTTAATTTCCATGGTGCCTCATATAGTCTATACTCTTCCTAAGATGCTTAAGACCTAAATAACTTTACAAAATATATAATTCTTCCAATTTCTAGCTAGACAGTGAGGAAACTGAAATTCAGCTCTGAGACTGCCAGTAGCAAGGGTATGAGTTACTAGGAGAGGTTTCTTACTTTAGAATGTAGGGAGTGAGGAAGGACTAAGAGACTAGAGCCAGCCTCAAGTTTCTCACAGTATGCTTTCCCATGTGTATTAAAAACAATCAACCCATCAGCTAAGGTTGGCACCTTTTGGCAATGTCATTATGTCAATGAGTTTGTTATAATCTGGCATTTATGCCTATAACCTACTAGAGGCCCTGGAACCTAACTCACTAGTAAGGGATTAGGAAGATAATGGCTGTGTACAATATATCCAAACTGAACTGTCTCTACTCCATGCCTTGTAGAAGACAGAGACATTGACAATTCTACGCATAGAATTCACAAGAACAAAAGGAGTGGCTTTTTCACAGTTAGTGGTCACCTAATATGGCATAATGTTTCCAATGAGATTATTGCATAGAAAATACCAAGGGCCTTGTTGATGGGATGTTTCATTGCTGCCTCCGCATTGGGATGGAATCATTTACCGGCTATTCACAAACATGGGAACGATTTGTTAAATAAGTGATGAACAAGTTCCAATTGTAAGACCACAATAATGAAAGTGTGCAGACATTTTTTGTGAAAGCCTCCTAGCAGAATGTGAAAAAGGAGGGGACAGAACACAGTGTGGCTAACAAGGGATTCAGGGTGGAGTTTGTGTGTGACACATACGCTTTAGAAAGAAGAGGACTCAGATAGGATAGGGAGAACCCTGGAGACAAACATGGACAGATTGTTTATGAAGTATGTAGCTATATATCTTCCTAGAAGAATTGCTTGCTTTACTATTGAGATGGGTATTACAGGTAAGTTATACTCTGGGCTTGTGTTTCTTCTCAGTAAAAAAAAAAAAAAAAAAGGATAATAATATCTAATGTGTAAGATTCATGGAGATGACAGGTAGCTTGAATAAACTTCTGACTACAGTAATGCTTATACCCTGGTATTAAGTAAACAATTCTCACTGTTACTGCTTTGTATTAAGATATTATCTTTGCCCCCTGGTGGCAGTCGCTCAACACAGAGCACTGTAATTGCGCTAATCCACTTAGTGGATATAGAACCAAAGGGCGCTTATTACTGGTGAATATTCAGGCTTAATTCCAGGCTTCCTGTTTGCTTTTCATGCCATGGTGAACCACACTTTCATAACATACAATTGTGTGTGTACTTAGGAATCTTTTAAGGGGTTGAAGGAAATGACCAATACAACTACAGCTCTGTGTTCACACTACTTTTAATTGGTCAAGATTTGGTTAGGAAGATAGAGCCCTTGTAAGTACATGAAGAAGTCAAGGGAGTTACAGAACATTGTTTCACAAGGGAATCTTGGAAATAAACACCTTGTTGGAGGAAACTGGGGAATCTGAGATGACTAACTGATCTGGCTAAAGCACTGTGTGGACAGACAAGTGGGAACTTTTAAGAATATGTGTGAAGTCTAGCATGTCTCACCCTCACAGGGCTTTCAAGTGGAGGCAGTAGGAAGGTCTGTGTGGACCCAGACAGTGAGCAGCTGTGAGCTCTCTGGGTCCCATGGAGGCTTTAGATGAAAGGTCAGTGAGTTCAGCAGAGGAAAAGTAACATGGAGTCAAGAAAAATGGGGGTAACCTAGAAACACATGTGGGTGCCCAAACTTGAAGGCTCCTGTTTTGCCTATCCCTGACAAAACTTACCCATAATTCCATGGAATGTTGGGTCAGCTTTCACTCTGAATGATATGGAAAAGGGGATTCTAGGAAACACAATTTCCTTATTTTAGGCAAACTGAAACACTCTAGTGTAGTCCTTGCCAACACAGCTTTTATAATCACTCATATCTAACATGTTTTCTTCCAAGTAATACCTGCAAACAAACATCTTCCACCCAAAGCTGAGGTAATTACCCTCTTGATGATGAAAGAACTTGCTGGAGGAAACTGGCAAATCTTAGAATCTCCCTCAAAGAGTATACACCTTATCCAGCTTTGAGACAAGGTTCTCATTTCTCCTTCATTCAGCCAAATACACATTTAAATATCCTATAAAATTAATCCTGAGATAGTTATTATTACTTTTTTGTTAGAGTGGAAGAGGACATTGCTGTATAAGGATGATCCCTTATCACAATGGTTCTTATGCTGCTCCAGTTTCATGGCAGTGTAGCATAGTAGGCATCCAGTGGCAGCTGTGGTGTTTTGAATTTCAATCTTTTCCTAGGTTAGTGGTATGTTAACCTCTTAAGATGCTGAGTGATGACAGCTAGCTGTGGCTCCCAAGTCTGCCTCAAATGCTCTGTGCCAAAGACCCAGTACTCTACAGTGTGCATTTTTGCTAAACGATTGGGTTTTGTATTTTAGGTGTCAGGTATATATTGGATTTATGACATTTTCAACATATAGTAGTTTTATTGTGGTATGTTTTCATTGTAAGTCAAGGAACATCAGTACTCACACATGCATGTATGCACATGGATTTGCACACACACACACACAGTTTCTTTAAAGTAAGAAAGTAATAAACACTACTGTCTGCACAGGCTGCACTGTAACTGGTCATGGGGAAGTAGATTATATCCATAACTTCTTTCACTTTGTTCTGTTTCCTGCTGGTACCTTAGTTAACAATGGTTGCTTATTATTGAGGTTGACTCAAATCTTCATTTCTGAAGAGTCTGCACAATTAGCAGTTCCACTTACCTAAGATTTTTGCAACTCTCCATCAACTTATCCAACAAAATATTGGAAGAGTGAGCAGTTCTTGAGAGGAGTTTGTTCTGTGGTTTCACTGTTGTTTGAAATGACCTATGGTAGTCCCCAGTTCCATGAAAAAAATATATTTTCTTATGGCACAATTTCTCTTTTAGAAAGTAATATCTAAAAACCAACAGAAGACAAAAGTTGCAAAGATAAAAAAACCAAAATTCATTAAAATCAGTTTGAAAATT